ATCTAATAGTAAAGAGGTTTGATAATCTTATAAAAGATCCTAAGTAGTGTAAGGGATAATTGGAAGTGAGCATCTCTTTATCTGTATCTATTTCAATTTTTTATTTGATTAATTTGTCAAAAAGCATGATTTTTATAGTATAATGTTTTATTTTTTAATTTGGCCTCAAGGTCAAGATCGAGTTGACCTACATAACCCTCAAAGTTAACCTTTTATTTATAAGAATTATTTGGGTAAAAATTAATTTATGTACAATATTAGTTATAAATTACTCTTCAAACCAAGCTATCATTGACGCTTGAAGAATTTAGAATGGGATAGCCTCACCTCTCTCTAAACTGTTTTTACTAGAAAGAAAGTAGTGTAGTTAATAATTTATGATATTTTATTTAAGTAACCGTAATTTTTAATAAACATTTGATGTCAAGTAAAAAAATAATTAAAAAATATACATTTCCTATTTTGGCTTATCAGGTGCACCAGTTATTACATTTTTTTTCCCTAATAGTTGCTTGTAACAAAATTACTTTTTTGGTACTATCAAATAAAAATTGTCAAAGTATTATATTGTATGCTTTTACCTTTATTTTAGATTTTGAATTATTTCTAGGCTGTTAGCTTTGTCATGGGGTTAAAGTTTTAGAACTGGCCTAACATTCAACCGAAAATAAAATTATTTATTATTTTTGGGCCTTAATATACTGGATGTCTTTTCTGGAGTTCATTCTGAGCTTGAAATTCTTTTCTTGACTTTCTGTAACTGTTACGGGCTTAAATTATTCTTTACCCAAAATCATTATTATACATAAACGACTAATTTTGAATATATTTGCCCAATTAATGTTAATATAATTAAAATTTATATATATGAAGGGTAAAAATAATTAAACATGAAGTATAATTAAATTTTCAAACAGTAAGTGGATATGTAATTAGTAAGTGAAAGATACAAGAAATTGTGTGTGTGTTTTTTGTTCCCTTTTGGTTATATAAGAGGCCTAAACTTAAGATAAGATAGATGAAAGAGTCAAAAATCAAATTCATGAGCTGTAAATGAACCTTTCAAATATTATATTATTTAGACTAAGTCTTAGGTTCAAAATGTAAAGAATTGCTTTTGATAGTTTAAAAAAAGAAAAACAAATAAAAGTTGAAGTAGTGATTGGGTGAGGAGGTCAAACACCAAGACAGTTAATTTGCTTATCTTTATTTTCAGAATCTTGATAGCAAATAAATATTTAATAGAAAAGAGGGCCCAATATTCATTTGAATGGCACAAGCCAATAGAAAAGTCTAAATTAAAGTGTTGTTTGTTCATCAATTCTAATAAACATCCCCTCTTGAGTAAAAATAAAAAAATCTCCACGAGGTGAACCCATTATTACATTTTTTCTTAAACGAAGTTATTTTTTGAACACATTATCATATAAAAAATTACATAAATTCACTTAATTTTCTACTTTCAATTAAAATGATGTGATCCAATACCATGCATTTCTATTTATATTAGCTCTACATGAACATAGGCGGGGCCGCTCCAGTAGGGGTCCATTCATTGCTAAGGATTTGAAGCATAAAAGGAAGTTATAAGATCCCTAATTGTTCTTATCAGCCCAACTACAATTTTTAAGTCCGACCCATTGTTAATAACGCCAACCTTCTTGTACTTTTCAAACCAATAACATATACGCCGAAAAAAAAAGAAAAACAATATATATTAAAACTATATCATTTATGTAAAAATAATAAATACATATACAATTATAAAATTATAAAATTACTTAAATTTTAATTAGAAAAGAACGTAGCAGTGGACAAGGCTTTGGCTACTATAAAATTATTAAAACTATGTCATGTATATACATTTATTAATTAAGATGTCATCTATAGAATTTCACATAGCTATTGTAATCCCGGCATGGAAGTACTGCTAGTGAGGGAATGTTTAATTGTGATAAATGTAGATTCATTTGCTCTGGTTCTCAAAGCAGCTCCTCCACCTTCCAAGAATCTCTCCACAGCCTGCATACACATGCAGCACAACTCTTAATAATTAAATAAAAGTAGAATGCTAATGATCTTGCACTCCCAGGAAAGTGAAAATTCACCAAATTTAGAATCAGTGAAATCACAAAATCTGCCAAGCATACAGGACAAAAGACAAAAAGTATAGACATGAACTGCACAAGGTGGCTTCATAACACCAAACAATAGTCAGATTCACCTGTATAGTACAACACAAGCTACAAACATTCAATAGAAATTATCAAAAGATAAACAAATGATTTTGTAGGTGGTAACTGCAGAGGTGTTCCTGTCTTGAAACTTTTTAGCAATGTCTCTACTTAGCCAGCTTATTGGAGCAACGAAAAGGTGCAACTGCAAGGAAAGGAGACATTTAGTTCATATTTCTATAATTGCTATGAACCTATTGATGATCTAATACATAGTTGCTTCTATTGCTTCTGATCAATCATTCAATATAGAAAATTAACAAAAACTATCGCCTTCTCATTTAGCTTAAAAGACCATTACCATACAGCTACAAATGGGAATATTTATGTGTAAAGTTGATGTATTAAATAAATGGGATATATATAGTTTGCACAAAGTCAGATATGTGAAGTGAATGGTTTGAACTTTTCACCATTGATTTTTATGAAAGACTAACCTGTCTCAGTATCAATAAAGTCATAAATCTTTTTTATTAAACACAGTTAAACTAATTTCTGTGTCAATGGGATTCTTTCTAAGATCCAAATTTTAATCCTCAAGCTTAGAGCAGGACTCAAACTCACTTTCATGATTGCACCACTAGAAATGAAAAACAAATAGTCCAATTTAATTCTTGGTCACTATCTCTCTGTGAAGTTTCTGGAGCTCATTGTTCAGCCTATTGTTCAGGTAGTTCAGATTTATCTCAATGTTTAACTGTTTCTCCTATGCATGGACACACCATAATTCTGTGTTTATTTCTTTGGACTGTTTGTGGTTCCTAGCAATATAATTCAGTATTATTTCAACAACACTCCATATGACATCACTAATTTTACGTGTCACTAATAAAAGGGGCTTTATTTACTTTATTTTGACTGATATAATGCACCAGGAGCTCGTTTCCTTTTATTTAACTAATATATGTGGGTGTGCTGAATTTTTTTGCCCGAGAAAGAGATTCCATTTCAGTGTTAGTGATCAAAAAGAAAAGCCTATGTTTAATGCTTTAAGATACAGTACAGAGTAAATAAACACTTCACCAAAAAAATCACGATGGAGGATCTCTAAAGAAGACAAGCTCTCAAGATAAATTATATTATTATTTATTTGAAATGGGAGATTTTTCTATTTTTCCCTTCAAATTTATGTTGCAAAAAGGAACTTCTTAGAACCTTGGCGTTTGCAGAAAATATGTAGAAAAGCTGTTGTGCAATCCTAATTGCTTGCATCTATTTTTGGATTAAACTGATAATGTTTCCGCAGACAAATGTATGTTTGTGAATTTGAATTCATTATGCCCAGCTAAGGGGAAAAGAGAAAAAATTTTAAGGACTTTCTACTAGTATGTGTTGGGAAGAAAAAATGAGACAACATAAAGAAGTAATTGATACGGATATAAATAGTTCTTATCCTTGGGGGTGTGGGGGTGGATTTGCTAGCTAGCCTTTATGTCCCTCTGACAAGTATATAGTGCTACAAATATTTATACTAGAAAGAATATTGGTTGCCAATATGAGATTTTCTAGGAAAAGGGAGGGTTTTATATAAATTCTCGAAGCACTGTGTTATTGTCATGCAAATAACAGGTTTGATGTACATGTACCACAATTAAAAAGGAAGACAACAGTGGCTTGTGATGCCAAAGCAATAAATGACGGAACACAAGCAAAGGGACAGAAAAGAAATCTATAGTAAACGGCATTGAAATCCAGCCAGATTGTTTTACTTATGCAGACATCATAAGCATCAACAATTCATAGAAGTCATTAAACAGAAAACAGTTGGCTTATAAAGAAATTTGTGATGCTGCTGCAAACATGCACATTCTCCTACTTATTGCAAACTTGAAATTTCGTCCGGACACCCCTCCTAACCCTCGAGACGAGAACAGTGGAAGCCAAATAGAGGAGGAAAATCACAGATGAGCGGGAGAGGGCAGGGAGAAAAAGGGCTCATACTGTCGGTGCTGGCTTGCCCTTCGGACGAGACGAGCGACACTACGAAGGATGAGTCGATGGGTCCAACGGAGAAGGTGATCAGCACCCGGAATTGATGAAGAAGTAGAAACAAGCTTCGGTGATTGCTACAATTGCAGATCGACAAGGCTTCACTCGGCACGGTGGTAAAGCGGCTCGATAGTCAATAGTCGACCGTCGTCAGCCACTCGGAAAAAGTGATGCTGCTCTGGGGACGACAAGGCTAGGGTCCACCAAACTACACAAGGAGGGAGGAATGATCAGTATCTCCAATTGAGAATAGCAAACTGAAGGATGACGGGAAGGTTAGGTTTGGCAAAAGGCACGGGGTCTATTAGGTGTAATTTAGAGGACTTACAATTTAATTCTATGTGAGAAATCGTGTCATCATTTATATCAACTGAATTATCCACGTGGATAAATATTATTAGTCTACATGGACTGGATTCCAAAACCCTGCTTTTGGTCTAGGTACCGGAGTGCTCGCCGTGGGTTTCCGTCGTGTTGGGTTGCAGAGGATGAGGAAAGGGGACTAGGCTTAGTCCAGTATTCATGTTAGCGTTCACGCGGCCTTCTCGTCGTCTATGTTAACTTTCATGTCTGCTTCCCCTTATGATTTGGGTTAAAGGGTTAATGGTAGGATTAATATAATAAAGGAAAGGGTTAACTTTGAATTATTTTGATGATTAAAAATATTAAAGAACCACTTTGGTGGTCGGGAAATCATTGAGGTACTATTTTGATAGTTTACTCATTTTTTACTTCATATAAACAGATCTTGGAGAGACAGAGAGAGATCTCAAAGAAATGGAGACGGAGGCACAGTTTACAAGCATAGGGAGCTCTCTCCAGGTACCTTCCGTCCAAGAGCTGGCCAAGAGACCAATGATCACAATTCCACCGCAGTATGTTCGTGATGATCAGGACCCTCTGATCATATCCGACACTTCTTCCTCGCCTGACATCCCGGTCATCGACTTGCAGGGCTTACTGTCTTCAGATTCCATGAATTCAGAACTTGAGAAACTACACTCTGCATGTAAAGAGTGGGGTTTCTTCCAGGTACCTGTATTCTAGACCTACAAGTAATTGAATGATATTAAGTTTCATCTGAAGGAGTAGAAAAGCTTGCCCTAGATCTGTACAATAGAACTTGACGGTTTAAAATGTTGGTAAATGTTATATCAAGTTATTTCTTTACATATATGACAAGTGAGGGGGAAAAAAAATTAGATCTTGCATTTTGGGGTTAATGGCTCCTGAATAGAATTTCAGCAAAAGGCGTGGGGGTTAAATTGCTACAATTGAAAAAGTAAATATAATTGGAGTGTAAAGTTTGGGGATCATTACTGTAGTTTGTCCTTTGTTTTTCCTTTAGTCGTCCAAGGGATGCTATAGGCCGGCAAGACTGACCAGGCCGGATTCCATAACTATTGTGGCTAGCTCACCATTTGATATTCATGACTGGTTTTAACTTATAGCTAAAATCAATACTGTAGTTGATCAATCATGGAATTAGCTCTGCAATGGTGGAGAAGGTGAAACAAGAGATTGAAGACCTCTTTAATCTCCCAATGGAGGAGAAAAAGGAGCTGTGGCAAGAGCCAGGTGGTACACAGGGATTTGGGCAGCTCTTTGTGGTGTCTAAAGAACAAAAGCTTGATTGGGCTGACCTCTTTTACTTGCTAATCCATCCAACTCAGTTAAGAAATCCCAAATTATTCTCCAAGCTCCCGATTTCTTTCAGGTAAGCCCGAATTTCTCATTGTTTCTTTCATATAAGAGTGGTGCGTTGGTTAGAAAATCAACATTATGTGAACCCAAGTTGGGTAAGTCATTTTGATCCTATGCAGGGAAACCATGCTAGCGTCCTTGGATGAAATTGCAAGTATTGCCATGGTGTTACTAGACCATATCGCAAAAACGCTATAGCTTAGAGCAGAGGAAAGGGAGTTGATGGAAGGAGGATTAATGCAAGCTTTGAGGATAAACTACTACCCTCCATGTCCAAAACCAGAGCTTGTGCTAGGAGTCACCCCTCACTCCGATGGCAGCCTACTCACCATCGTCCTCCAACTTAATCAAGTGGATGGCCTCCAGATCAAGAAGGATGGAATGTGGATTCCTATTAGGCCTCTTCCTAGTGCTTTTGTGGTTAATGTTGGAGATAGCTTGGAGGTAATTCATGTTCAAACTCAGAACTGACATATGATAGTGATCCTTCAGAATAAATTTTAATGTCTTAAATTTTTTTTAAGAAATCAATATGTTGGTGAAATTTAAAATGAAATTACGACTTTTTCCCATCAAAGTTTTCCTCAAAAAATATTTGCACCCATTCTTTGTCAATCCCTAAAATGTTCTTTGACATATGCTTAGCTTTTGGTTGCTTATGGACTATTAGCGAGGGTGGCAATTCACAATGCCTTTTGCTTGTTTGAACTGTTGTGACAGATTCTGAGTAACGGAATTTACAAGAGTATCCAGCATCGAGCAGTAGTAAACTCGGAGAAAGAGAGGATCTCAGTCGCAGCATTTCACAGCCCAAAGTTTGAAGGGAGTTGGGACCAGCACCAAGCCTTGTCACCCTGAAACTCCTGCCCTGTTCAAAAGGGTGGGCATCGCAGAGTACTACCGGAGATATTTGGCTCGAAAACTCCATGAGAAATCAAACATCGAGGCCATGAGGATTCAAAACGAGGAGGGCGAGAACAATTGAGCATAAGCTCGTTTGCCAAGTGAAAATTAATGACTATGTTTGATGGTGAGAAATGCTTCTATTTCCACCCAATGGGAGATGAAGGAGACTAATTTTCATTGGATTATTGTGAGGCCTCATGTCAGTCAAAATAAGGCTCACCATCTGTTGTGATTTATTTTGCAAGATTACACACATTCTCCAAGTCGAATAAGTTAATTATATGCAAATGATAGACTTTAACTTTGATTTTTATAGAAAACAAACATGTGAGGTTAAACTGTCACAACTATTTTGAACAATGGCAACACCAATCATTTAATTATAATATGATCTTAAAAAGTAACCATAACAATTTCAATTCTAAAAGAAGTAATTTTTTATACCATTTTTTAAGTTCTACGGGATACTCTAAAAGTAATTCTGGATGGATTAGAGAAAAATACCAACTAAGAAATCGCAGTTTCAGATTATTTGTTGGGGACATACAAGCATTACCGTCTCTTGTGTGTGAATGACAAGTTGGGAGGAAGAAAGAGCAAATAATCCATTAATTTTATAGATATATACAGGGCTCTGTCTTTGATCAAACCGACTTTGGAGAGAGAAGAGAGAGCCGTGGGAAAAATACGGAGATGGAGGAAAGGGTTAAATGCGCATAGAGAACTCTCCACGTACCCTCAGTCCGTAGGTGGCCAGGGGACCAATGATCGAGATGTTCATGAACATCAAGACCCTCCGATCATATTCAACTGCTCTTCCTTCCCTGAAGTTCCGGTGATAGACTTGTAGAGCTTGACTTACGAGAGACTATCTCATGCATAAAACTCTAAAATTCACTATTAAATAATTTAAATTTAAATATTTTATCTTAATTAATTAAATTCAATAAATTATTAAAATTAGCGGTTATGAAGGCGTTACAAACTTAGTCATGCAATTGTTGTATCAACTCTGTTAATCTCAGTTGAGAGCTCATGTGGACTAAATTTCTGCAATTGAAATATTGGAGGCCAAATAAGAAGGCGAAAGAAATTACATGGATTACTGCTGTAACTGGTCCTTTTAAATTTCATTTGTACCAACAAAGATTATTTTTTCTTTTAAAAGGAATTTTCCCTATTTCCTTTTGCTTTTTCCCTCTTGAGGCTCATCGCTTCCCGTAACGAGAAAAGCCCAAGAAATAGACTGACTAGAAGTCAGAACAGAGGCTAAGGTAATTTCGGCTGCTTAAAAGTCAACTGTTTGAGCTTGAATGGGCCCAAAAGGATAAGAAAAGGGGCAAGTGGAACCCCAGTGCTATCATGCCAGCACAGTTGCTTTGACAAAGGCATGCGGATTCAGGTTTTTTACACTTTGGGCTTTTGTTCATTTAGAGGGGGAGAAGAGGAAGGAGAACCTTAATAGAAAGTCATGGAGATCAATGCAAAGTTTGCGAGTCTTGCAGGTCCTCTACAGGTGCCCTCTGTGAAGGAGCTGGCCAAGGGCAACCCCACTTGTGCCGCCGCGATACCTTCGCCATTCTGACCAGCATAATCCTATCATATCCAACCCTTCCTCCCCGCCAGAGATCCCCATAATCGACTTGCAGAGCTCAATTTCCGGAAATTCAATGAATTCTGAGCTTGGGAAACTCTACTGTGCATGCCAAGATTGGGGCTTCTTCCAGGTAATTATCCACCTACACCCATATTTTTCTATCTACAGACTCCATCTACACGGCTTATACCAATTCTCTATTATTCATTGACATCTAAGTAGTGCACATCCATATTGCCAGTTAGTTGGATTATAGAAGACTACAATAGCCCAAAGCCAGAGGATCACATCCTAACATATTCTTAGTTTTTCTCCAATCTTCCAAACGCGGATTAAAGAAATCATAGTTTTTCTTCTCTTTTCTCTTCATTAGACCATTTTCGTACTTTACTTGCCCTTCCAGAAATGTATCCCTTTTCTTGAAAACTAAAAACACTGTTTGATTGGAATTAATATCTTAACAACTTAGGAAACATAATTGCAGATTATCAATCATGGAGTTAGCTCTGAGATGGTGGAGAAGGTGAAGGGAGAAGTTGAGGACTTGTTTTATCTGCCACTACAAGAAAAGAAGTACTGGCAAGAGCCAGCCGATGCGCAGGGATTTGGACAGCTGTCTGTCTTTCAGAGGATCAGAAGCTTGATTGGCCTGATCTCTTTTCATCGACATCCTTCCTCCCCATTTAAGAAAATCAGAATTATTTTCCAACCTTCCCCTCCATTTGGGTGCTCTCTCTCTCTCTCTCTCCCCCCCCTCCTCATCCAATGTCTTGCCATTTTAACCCAAAAAAAAATGTTATGCCTTTTCACTTCAATCAATTTGGACCATTTATATTATTATTAATAGCTTAAATCTGCTGTATTATTGCATCAAAATTTTACATTATTTTTTAACATAATCGTTATGTATTTTGATTTTTTTAAAAAAAAATTCAAGATATTTTCTGCATTAAAGAATTGGTAATGTGACAAGATATTTAAACTTTATGCAAGGAATTTTGAAATTAAAGAATGCAAGATAATAATGTAGATAATATAAATTGTATTTCTCTAGTTTGAAAATTTTTTACATGAAGTTTGGATATCTTGTCACATCATTGATTCTCTAACCTACATAATTATTTTATCGTTTTTTAAAAAATTAAGTAAATAGTTTTTTAAATTTATTTATAATGATTTATATTTTTAAATTTCAAAATTCTCACATTAAATCTAAATGTTTTTATGATATCATTGATTCTCTTCTCCATGTAATTCCATGGCATTCTCTGGTCATCTTAGTTCTCAACGCTTCGTCGTTTTGCAAGATTAGAAGGCTTTTCTTTATAGAAGGAAGGCAAATATTGAAAATCCAGAAAATTCATTGTCTCCGTATTGTTATTATTTAGTATAAATAGTAGTTTAAAAAATTTTAAAATACTTTTTTAAAAATCTATTTTCTGAATTTTTTAAAATAATCTATCAAATGATAATTCTCATTTTTCCATTAACAGAAAACACTTCTGAAATAAATCGAAAGCATGCCCACATTAGTTATTAACTTGGTACATATAATTAGTTATTAACTTGGTACATGTGTCACGTATTATTATACTTTTTCCAAAAAATATATTTATTAAAGTATGTAATATTACTGCTTATATTTCACTCTCAATCCCTCCTTTTTATCTGTCTAATATGATATCTGTAACATTCTCTCTCACTTTAACTCTTGATTCTCATGTCACGTGTTAAAGTCATAATTTTCAGTTCAAAAAATTTATCTATTAGAGTGTAATGCTATTATTTATATCTCAATCTTTTCCTTTTTTTTTATTTGACTTGACATACGTGACACATATTCAATTCTATATATATATGTCTAAATTTTTAGAGGCTTTTTTAAAACGCTTGTACCAAAAATTAAAGAGAAAGAGAGAGAGAGAGAGAGAGAGAGAGAGAAGGAGAGAGATGAGTAGATTAAGTTTATTATGTATGCAGGAACGCCATAGATGCATTCTCAATAAAAAAAAAAAAAAAAAAGGTCTAGCAATGGTGTTACTCTGAGCTCATGGGAAGAAATCTGAAAATGAAGGCTGGGGAAATATGGGAGATGTTTGAATGGGAAGACAGTAGTTTTTGATTATATATATACCAATGAACAGGGTGGACGTAGAGCACAAGTACATGCTTCCTTCGTTCAAATCTTGCATTTTTTAAAAATTTACTTTTCAGCACCCACACTTTTATAAAATTTTACACATAATTTCCTTAAAATTTTACTTATATTGATACTCTTACTGCTTTGAAAGTCATCACTCTGCTATTACTAACAAATGTACAATATCTCCACTTTGGGTTTCAACTAAGGTGTAAACTTTAATAACTTATATTTCACTTAAAAGTAAAAAAATCAGTGTTGTTAAAATCATATAATTTACGATATAAATTGTGTGATTCAATATGATTCGTAAAATCAATAATTCATATTAGCTGTTAAATCGTATAAGTATATGAAATTGTGATTCATACACAAAATGATACAATTCATGATTGAACAAATTTTTATATTTTCAAGATATATTTTGTGTAGGTTAAATCAAAAGTTAATAATTTTATAATTATTTTATACTAAATAACTACATAAATTTATATAAATTTAAATGTTAGACACTTTTTTATGTTAAAATTTTAAAATTAATTATATGTCATTTTTATTAGTTTAATTTATAAAATTTATCTTAACTAACACCCAAAATAAATTTTTTTGCTTGGTTCTTATATAATATTTAATTATTTATCTAAAATTTTTTAAACATTTTATTCTTATTATAATTATAAAATAATATTTATTTAAATATTTTATTAATATCTTTCTGAATCTACAGCGAGCTACGATTCTGAATTCAAAAATTGTAAAAATGATTTGTTAATACAATTTGACAAACATGTCATGACATCTGAACTGAATATGAATCTCATCAATGGGGTCTAGGCCGGCTCTAAGTCATCCCCTTTACAAAGTCTACCAGAAGCCCATGGGCCTCCGCTAAATCATCAATCGGGTCCAGCCCATGGGTTTAAAATAAAACTACAGGCTAGGTTTTTTGTTGTCAAATTTGTATACCTATAGATTTTAAAACCTTTGTAACTAAACTTTCAGTATAAAAAACTTAAAATAATTCTACAAATTTCCACTGCATCTTTGAATTTTGATATATAAAGTCATAATTATGGTTACTATAGATAATATATTTAAACTTATTGCACATTTGTTTTATGGTAATATTCAATTACTAGAAAAGATAAAGAAATCATATTTTTCAGTATAAGCGTTCAATTGTTAAATTTTATATTATAGTAAAGGAAAATTTGACCCAAAAAATTTGTGTTTATAAATAAAAATAATCATATAACGGGATTGGATCTCCCATATTTATTACAATGTGAGAGAATTTTAATTTATCACTTTGCTCCCCCAACTGAAAGATCTGACTCGGCCCCTGGCGGAGGCAGGTTGTAACCAACGGAGTTTACCAAAGCATAGAGCAGAGAGTCATAGCAAACTCAGACAAAGAAATGTATTTTTTTTATAACTTTAAAAATATATATTTTTAAAATTGAAATATATATTAGAAATATGGTGATTTAAGAGTAATTAAAATATTATTTTTTTGACATATATTTCGTATATTTCTAAGATATAATTTTAAAAATTATTTTCTTTTATATTTTGTTTTACAAATAAGAATTTATGTAAAAAATTAGCAAGTTAGATGTTGATGTAAGTAAGAAATTAAATTAAAAAACTAATGTAAGGATTAAAGTGATAAAATTAAAATATAAAGGACTAAAATACACGCACACATGTGTGTAAAAGGGGTAGTAGTAATAGTAGTAGTGATGGTGTGTGCGCGAGAGTGTGAGGTAAAGAAAATAACCTTTTTAATAAAAGTAAAATAAATACTTTTGAGATTGAGCATGACTTTAGAGTCATGTTCAGCTTAAAGAACATATGATTCATTTTTTAGGATATGTATTTTTAAAATATGGTTTAAAATAAATAATATTTTTTAAATTTTAGTTAAAAAATTGGAAAGTATGCTTTTAAAATTGTAAGAAAACATTGTTGAAGGCTCTCTGTTGGCTTCTCCCACAGCCCAAGCGCTGGAAACGCGGACAAAGAGTTGGGTCCAGCGCTTAGCCCCATCACCCCGCAAACTTCACCCTTCTTCAAGAGAATAGATGTCGCTGAAGACTTCCGGAGATTCTTTGGCTGTAAACTCAACGAGAAAACAAACCTCGACTACTAGAGGAGTCCGAGGGAGGACGGCGCCTGGAAACAATTGAATGAATCAACACCGACGGCTGCAGAAGAAGAATCCATGCATGATATGGCCCATGCATGGTGGAATTCTTGTACTTACAATTGCGCTGTTGAATAAACATTAATAAACTAAGTCTGCTTCAACCAAAAAATGGTCGTAAATCAATATTTTCCTACTTCATGTTGTAATTCACTTAAACTTAGGGTTAATTTTGAAAGACATCAATATTTCTTGGTGTTCCAAATTGCATTTTTAGTAAATAGATTCAATTTTCAAATTTCTGTATTTCGAAAAAACCCAAATGAATAGAATTTGAAGCAAAAAGCAAAATGCAACATAATCTACCATGCCAACTCCCCCAGGTTGAGTAAAAAAAATTGCTTCAGAAATAAAAAAGAAAATAAACAAAACAATCTGCAACAAAGTAATTAAAAGGAATCAAAGTCTGACGTCAGGAACCATTTATTGATGGACATTTATGAGATTTGACCATTTTATTGGCGGAAATTTATTAGAATTATTAAACCACTAAATTTTCTTAAATTAATTTTTTTATTCAAATTTTCACAATTTGTTGTGTTGTCATTTTCAGACAATGTTTTTTTTTTTCAAACCTTAGGCTACCCGACCTAAACACTATTATCACATGATGTGTAATAGCATTTTAATATCAGGTAGGTAAGAATTATGCAATCTTGGCTAATCTTTAGACTTCATAGAAAAGGGGGAATTCAGAGAGAGAGAGAGTCGTAGCTTGGTAGCTCCATCAGAGGAGTCTGAAGGTAGGCATGGAACCAAAGGAACGAAGTCTCGGGAGATCCCTGCTGGTACCTTGTGTTCAAGAGCTAGCGAGGGAATCATTGATTACGGTCCCGCCCCGGTACATCCAGCCCCATCAGGACTGTCCAATCATATCATGTTCAACTCCTCATCCTGATATCCCGATCATCAACATGGAAAAATTGCTGTCTGGCGATGGTGTGGAGTTAAAGAAGCTAGACTCTGCTTGCAGAGAATGGGGTTTCTTCCAGGTACAGCTTCCTCTCTGTTTATTCGGCACGATACATGCCAAAACTAGATTGGTTTACAGGTTAACAAAGAAAAACCGTAGACATAACATGATAAAAGAGAAGAAATTAATGTGATGCAGCTGATAAATCATGGAGTCAGCACTTCATTACTGGAGAAGATAAAGGTAGAGATTCAGGAATTCTTCAACCTCCCAATGGAAGAGAAGAAGAAGCTCTGGCAGCTGCCTGAAGATGTAGAAGGATTTGGGCAGGCGTTTGTTGTGTCTGAGGAGCAGAAGCTTGACTGGGCTGACCTATTTTTCTTGACCACCCTTCCAACCTTTACGAGGAAACCCCGCCTCTTTCCTAAGCTCCCTCTCTCTTTCAGGTGTCTCTCTCTCTGTCTCTCTCTGTTCCTCTTTATGCAGACAATGGCCTGGTTGGTTAGGGGATATAAGAAGCGAGGATTGGAATGTTTATCCCCGTATGGATTAATAAACCCGTTTTTCTCTTTGATTATTGTACACTAGTTTCACTACTTAATTCAATAATTTCAAATCATATACAAATAATAAGCAACTCCACTACAAGCAACTAAAGGAGATCTATTTCATTGGGAGTAACAGAAATTGTCACATTGACCATTAATCAATAGCTACATTAAGACTAATATGGTGTTTGATGTGAAATTTTTTTTAGAAATAACCTTTTTTATTGAGTTGAGATGTTAGTTTACTTAAAATAAGTCAACTTTTGCGAAGTGGATGTTCTACTTGTACGGTTTTTAATTAAAAGAATTTAGGACCTTCTGTATCCATTTGGGGCTAAAACTCTCGCAAACTAAACATCTTTGTGGTTTACAAAAGCTCTTTTATGAAGGAGAACCAAACAAATTAAGGATCAAAAAGTTAAAACCTAATAAATTACTTATCAAAAAAGTCTTTCCACGCAGGGACACCCTAGAAATTTATTCTATTGAACTGAAAAATCTCGCCATAAATATTCTGGACTTCATGGCTAGAGCTCTGGCTATGAAGTCAGAGGAAATGAAAGAGTTGTTTGAAGATGGGACGCAGTCAATGAGGATGAACTATTATCCATCGTGCCCGCAACCAGAGCAGGTAATCGGTCTCACCCCCCACTCGGATGCTGTAGGATTAACAATCCTCCTCCAAGTCAATGAGATGGATGGTCTACAGATCAAGAAAGACGCAATGTGGGTTCCTGTTAAACCCCTCCCTCAAGCCTTTGTGGTCAACGTTGGAGACGTTCTAGAGGTACAAATACCAAAACTGAATTATTTTTGTATTCAAAAGTTGCATTGAAGGTTCCTAGATGTTGGAATACATACAGCTCATTACAGTTCAGCATCAATAGATTAATCCTCAGCGTGTACCGTGGGTGTGTGCTCTGTAGTTTGTACTGACCATATACAATATATGCTCCACCTCTCTCCCTCTGCTCATTTCCTCTCTCCCTCTCCCACTACCTGCTGTATTGATGTTGTACAAATGTTGTCCTACTGTTTTGTTTTTTGTTCCAGTGTTTTGTATATAAATACTAAGCCTCTCAATTGTAAACTCTTGTGGGATTAATATATATAAAATTATTTCTTCAACTGTTCTTGTTCTATTCCTTCATGGTATCAAAGCCATAGCCCTCACCTTCAACTCGCAGGTTTCTTCTTACCTTCAAATTCCTCTCCTAAACCACAAGTCTCCTCACTTCCAATTTCATGGCTTCAAATGACTCTAGTGTTCCTCAAGGAACCAGAGACAACGTCTTTGCCTCAACCACCCCAGTGAACTCCTTGTCTCAACAACCAGAAAAACAAAGTCCTAATCTTCCTACAACGACTCCTACCCTAAACATTAAATTGGAGGATGGTAACTTTATGTTCTAGAAAAATCAAATACTCAATGTAGTCTGCGCCAATAGATTAGACGAATAGTTGACTGGAGAAGCTGTCAAACCACCAGAGTTTCTAGATGAAGAATGCAAAATGAAGAACCCTAAGTTTCAGTCATGGAACAGGGCTAATAGACTCATAATGAGCTGGATATACGCCACCCTCTCGCCGAAGTCTCTTGGCCAGATCGTCGGACTATCAACTGCACATGATATCTAGGAGTCATTACAAAGAATATACGAGTTATCGGCAATGGCAAGAGTGATGACTCTCAAATCATAACTACAGCAACTAAAGAAAGGAGGCAGTACAATAATTCAATATTTAGGGCAACTAAAATCTCTAATTGATCGATTGGCTGTTGTCGGTGAACTAGTTCCCTACAAAGATCACTTAGCTTACCTCTTGGAAGGTCTTCTAGCCGAATACGACCCATTTGTCATCTCTGTCTACAACCGTCTGGATCAACAAAGTCTTAAAGAAGTTCAAATCCTCCTCATCTCCTATGAACATCGAATGGAAAAGAGGCTTTCAAATGAATCTATTTTCCTTCCACATGCGAATTTCAGTGCCCTAACTCTCGCTCAAAAGAACTCTCACTCTAATCATCAGAAATCTGGTAACCAGTTTGATGGGAGGCAAGGAGGGTGACCATGGATGCTACAAAACCCTAAACAAGCAGATCCAAGCCAAACGGGTCACACCTAGAGTTACAACCTAGCCTGCTAAGTCGTGGTCCAAACGGGTCACAGATGGGCTTTGGCCCAAGAGGCCCGCGAACAAATGGGTCTAAGCCCAAGCCCAAATGTCAACTTTGTTTTAAACTAGACCACACATCGGCCCAATGTTATTATCTACTAGATCTTGCAACCCAGGCCCAAGCCCAGGCCCATCTATCTCATATGTCGGGCGGGTTCATTGATACGGGTCGGCATTATGACCCGACTTCTGCTAAAAATCCTAACCCTTTTATTGCGCCGTCTGCTTCTCCATTTGATCTTAGCACCGGTGAGCATGCATCAAACTGGCTTATCGACTCAGACGCCACCCATCATATGACTTCGGCAATCTCCAACCTCAGTTCACCTATCCCTTATCAAGGTAAGTCGAAGGTAACGATAAGAAATGGCTGTTCGATCCCCATAGACCCTGTAGGTTCGAAACATTTATCTCTTTACCCTAAACCATTGTTTTGAACCATCTTCTTCACACTCCTCACATTTCTACTAATTTATTGAGTGTCTCGAAACTCTGTTGTGATAATAATGTACTAATTGAGTTTGATTCATCGTGTGTTGTTTTCAAGGATCAAGCACTCTTCAGCCTCTTGTGCGAGGAACATTTAGAAACGTCCTCTACATGCTACCCTGTTTGTCACTTCTCTCTCGGGTGCCCTCCAGTTCTCGGCTCCCTATGGTTTTCCCTTCACCCTTTGTTTTTACATCTGTTTCCTGTTTTTCTGCTGCCAAATTAAATCAAGCCACGTTGTGGCATGCCCGCTTGGGGCATCCTAGTCATGATGTTTTAAGAAAAGTCTCTGAGTTGTGTAATTTTCATTTTTCTAAGAACGATAGTTTTGATTTCTGTGTTGCCTGTGTTAAATCAAAACATCATCGACTTACTTTTGACACATCTGCTAAACGAGCCTCTCATTTGTTTGAATTAGTGCATATGGATCTTTGGAGTCCTTCTCTTGTTAATTCTATCAATGGTATGCGTTATTTCTTATTATTGGTTGATGACTACTCCTAGTATACTTGGATTTACTTTCTAAAAACTAAAGATCAAGCTATTCCCACATTTCAAACGTTCTATAACATGGTTAAAACTCAGTTTTCGCTCTCCATTAAAACTGTTAGATTTGACTAGGGGGTGAATTTCGCCCTTTACATCATTGGTTTAAAACTCTGGCATGCACCATCAAGTGTCCTGCCCTTATACTCCCCAACAGAACGGTTGAGTTGAACGCAAAAATAAATATGTTGTTGAAGTAGGCTTGTCCCTCTTAAGCCATAGTGGTGTCCCCATGACTTTTGGCCCTTATGCATTCTATGAAACTGTTTATATTATCAATCATCTTCCCACAAAGCCCTTGAACTTTCAAATTCAAATTACAATTCTTTTTCTGGTCAACAACCTAGTTTTCAAACCTTCAAAGTCTTTGGGAGTACCTGTTTCCCTCTTCTTCAACCATTTTCTATTCATAAATTACAGCCAATGTCTACCGAATGTGTCTATCTAGGCCATAGCTCCACCACAAGGGTTATGTTTCTTAGATAAGACTTCTCATAAAATTTATATTTTTCAAGATGTTATTTTCAATGAACAGGTGTTCCCTTTTCATTCCACCAATACTTAGTCATCTTCTCCTGCCATCTATCCCTCTAACTAGTGGGCTATTCCCTCTCCCTTCATCACCACGTCTTGCCCACCAGTCTCCAATCCCTTCCCCTCTTCTCTGTCTCAACAGACAACTTCTGTTCCTCCCTCAGACTCCTCTATATCATCCTCTTCCTCCCCGAACATTTCTTCTCCTCTGGTTCCAACCTTGAACCCCTCACAGCCAGACCTATCTATTTTTTCTGACTCTCTTGATGTAGGTGATGTTACTAGACAGGTGGTACACAACCTCCATCCCATGGTTACCTGATCTAAAGCAAGTATTTTAAACTCAAAACTTATATGGCTTGCTCAAACACTTACCGCTTCCATTTCTGTTGAACCACATTCTGTCCTAGAAGCCAAGAAAAACTCACTGTGGTTAGATGCTATGCTCCAAGAACTACATGCCTTAAAAACTAATAACACATGGATCCTTGTCCCTCCAGATCCCTCTCAAAAGGTTATAGGCTGTAAATGGGTTTTTAAAGTCAACTTGAAATCCGATGGCTCTCTTGTTCTACAAATCTACTTCTAGGGAATTGGTTATTGTCCTTATGTATGTTGATGATATTCTTGTCACTGGCTCTCATTCCTCTAACATCACAGCTCTCTTGCATAACCTTCATTCCACTTTTTCTCTCAAAGATCTTGGGAATATCTTCTATTTTTTGGGTCTTCAAGTTACCTTCTCCAAGGACACCATTCATTTGTCTCAAGAAAAATACATCCACGAGATTTTAAACAAAGCTGATATGTCTAACTGTAAACCCATTTCCACTCCTATGGCTACCAACCCTCCCTTATCTTTGTATGATGGTGAACCCTTATCTGATCCCACTGTTTTTAAAAGCCTTGTAGGAGTGTTGCAATACTACATGCTCACTAGACCTGATATCAGCTTTACTGTCAACAAGTTATGTCAATTTCTTCATTCACCAACTACTGTTCACATGCAAGCTGTCAAAAGACTTTTTCATTACCTCAAAGGTTCCCTCAATCATGGTCTCACCCTTACTTCTAATAAACATTTAACCTTAACTGGTTATGTTGACTCTGATTGGGCTGGATGCCTTGATGATCGAAAAAGCACTATTGGCTACTGTATTTTTCTTGGTCCTAATCTCATATCTTGGGCATCCAGTAAACAGAAAGTGGTCTCTCACTCTAGTACCAAGGCTGAGTATAAGGCTATTGCTAATCTTACTGCTGAACTCATGTGGATTGAATCTCTTCTCAAAGAACTTCAACTTCCATATCAGTCTCCACCGCTAGGTTTTTGTGACAACTTAAGTGCTGTTTATCTTTCTACTAATCTTGTTTTCCATGCCAGAGCTAAACACATTGAAATTGATCATCACTTTGTCCGTGACAAAGTTCTCAATAGCTCTCTTCAAGTTCAGCATCTCCCTGCTACTGACTAGTTGGTAGACTCTCTCACCAAACCTCTTTCGCCTCAAAATTTTTTGCAAAATTGGAACAAGCTCAAAGTCCTCCATCGGCCTGTTCGCTTGAGGGGGGATGTTGGAATACATGCAACTACAGCTCATTACAGTTCAACATCAACAGATTAATCCTCAGTGTGTACCGTGGGTGTGTGCTCTGTAGTTTGTACTGACCATATACAATATATGCTCCACCTCTCTCCCTCTGCTCATTTCCTCTCTCCCTCCCCCACTACCTGCTATACTAATGTTGTACAAATGCTGTCCTACTGTTTTGTTTTTTGTTCCAGTGTTTTGTATATAAATACTAAGCCTCTCAATTGTAAACTCTCGTGTGATTAATATACAGGAGATTATTTCTTCCACTGTTCTTATTCTATTCCTTCACTAGAGTGTTAATTTGTATAAAATGCGGCTATGTGATCAGATAACTTGTTTTGCAGATAGTCACCAATGGCGCTTACAGAAGCATTGAGCATCGTGCTGTTGTAAACTCTAGGAAGGAGAGGCTATCCATTGCCACATTTCACAACCCCAAATATGACGGTGAATTGGGCCCTGCACCTAGTTTGCTTTCCTCACAAACGCCCGCATTATACAGAAGAATCAAAGTTGCAGAGTATTTGAAGGGCCTGTTTGCTCGAGCCCTAGATGGAAAGTCATATATAGACCTCATGAGGATAGAAGAAGAGGGTATCAACTGAAATTTCATTGTTGACAGAAAATGACAAGTTGGTGGTCCTAAAAACAATCTCATGGTTGTCTCCTTCATTCTGATTAAATATTGTATTGGATAGCTGGTAAACAAATACATTCCGGATCTTTGAGAATGCTCACATGAAAAACTGAAGATATGAAGCTAACAGCTAGAAATTCATAAGCTGTCATATTATAACCTCACGACCTCAAGCACACGGAGGAAACAAAGCTCAACCCTCTAGACTAAGGGCTGTTTGGCGTACCCATGAATTTTTAATATTAAAAGTCATACATTATGGTTACTATTAATAATAGGTCTAAAATTATTGTGTGTTAAATTTTTTTTGTAACTTTGGTTTATGGTAATGCTCAACTGCAGCGAGAAATAAGAGATTATTTCTTTCTCCGTAAGCATTCAAATTTTTAATTTTATGAAATTGTAAAAGAAAATTTGAATTTATAGATAAAAACAATCATATAAATAGGACAGAAACTCCCATATTTTATTATAATACGAGAGAATTTTAATTTATCAATTAGCTCTCTCCCCCCCCCCCCCCCCCCCCCCCACTAAAAGATTCTGACTCTGCCCCTGGAGGCAGGTTATAACCAAGGGAGTTTACAAGAGTATAGAGCAGAGAGTGGTAGTAAACTTAGTGAGAAAAAGCCTCCCTATTGGCTTCTCCCACATCCCAGGCGTGGACAGAGTTGGGTCCAGCGCTTAGCCCCATCACCCCGCGAACTCCACCCCTCTTCGAAAGAATAGGTGTCGCTGAATACTTCCGGAGGTTCTTCTGACGCAAACTCCACCACAAAATAAACCTTGACTACGTGAAAATTCAGAGGGAGGAGGATGGCCCGGAAACCATTGAATTAATCAACACCAACGGCCGAGGAAGAAGAAGAATCCATGCATGATATGGCCCATGATATATTAATATTAATATTTGTTTTCAAATAATATTAGCACATTACAGTTTTAATAGGTATTAAAATTTTTTACTTTCTAATAATTTCCCTTGTTAAAGAATCACGAGAGCCCCCGCTGCTGGCATATCTGATAGACGCTGCTTTGGAAGAGCATAGCCATGGCCGGCAGGAGAAAACCTCCGGATCAATATGAGCACGATCAGGCCATCGAAGACTCGGACCAAAGCAGACCTCCAGATTCGGTGCAGTTAAGTCGACAGCCTCAGATGGGTCAGCTCCTCAGAGATTGTTCGGAGATACTTCTTTCTAGTTCGAATAGGGAAGTGGAAAGATCGGCTTTCCGCTTTTGATTTTCCCTTTTGGGAGGCTTTGACTTCTAATGGCGACAGAATCAATCGTCCTGCTATGAACGAACCTTTTTTCATGCTTTCGGCTTTCGGGTGAAGAACAGAGTTGGGGAGACCTTTTAAGCTTTAGGATGGCTCTTTGCAAAATAGATTTTACCCTCACCGTCCATCGTCTCGTACCCAGCTCTCTGCCTCTTTTGCCTGCGTTACTACGAATTTATACACATCCGACTGTAGGCGACGCCGTTTCTTTACATCCCTGCTGCAAGATTGGAAGAATTTGACTTCTAAGCTGTTTTGGTCAGAGTGAGATTTCCTGAATACCTTCTCTCTTACTCCATCATATATACGCAAATGAACTGAAATTTTAGGTTTAATTCAGTTTGGTTTGTGATTAATTTCAATCACCAAACTTTTTGGATTTGCACACTCCTATAAGAAAGGTAATTCAGAGAGAGAGAGAGAGAGAGTTGTAACTTGGTAGCTCCATCAGAGGCGTTTGAAGTTAGGAATGGAACCAAAGCAACCAAGTTTCGGGAGTGCCTGCTGGTACCTTGTGTTCAAGAGCTAGCGAAGGAATCATTGATTACGGTCCCGCCCCGGAACATCCAGCCCCATCAGGACTGTCCAATCATATCTTGTTCAACTTATCATCCTGATATCCCGATCGTCAACATGGAAAGGTTGCTCTCTGATGATGATGTGGAGTTAAAGAAGCTAGACTCTGCTTGCAGAGAATGGGGTTTGTTCCAAGTACAGCTTCCTTTCTGTTTATTTAACAGGACACATGTCAAAATTAGATTAGTTGATAGGTCAACAAAGAAAAACCATGGACATACATGATATAGGAGAAGAAATTAATGTGATGCAGCTGATAAATCATGAAGTGAGCACTGCATTACTGGAGAAGATAAAGATAGAGATTCATGAATTCTTCAACCTCCCAGTGGAAAAGAAGAAGTTCTGGCAGCAGCCGGGAGAGGTAGAGGGATTTGGCCAGGCGTTCGTTGTGTCTGGGGAGCAGAAGCTTGATTGGGCTGACATATTTTTCTTAAGCTGCCTTCCTACCTTTATGAGGAAACCCCACCTCTTTCCTAAGCTCCATCTCCCTTTCTCGTGTGCGTCTCTCTGTCTTTCTGTACCTCTACATGTATACCATGGCCTGCTTGGTTAGGGTAAGAAACTAGGATTGGAGTGTTTATCTCCATATGGATTAATAAACCCGTGTTTCTCTCTGATTATTGTACACATGTTTCACTATTCAATTTAACAATTTCAAATCACATTCGTTATTAATGTTAACTTAGTCCTTACAAATAATACTGAAAGCAAACAACTCCAATATATACAAGCAACTATAGGAGATCGGTTTCCTTGCGTGCAACAGAAATTGTCACCTTGACCATTAATCAATAGGTACATTAGGACTAATATGTTTTCCGGATTGAAAACTTTTTAGAAATAAAAATTTTTTTATTGAGTTGGGATGTTAGTTTCCTTAAATTAAGTCACTTTTGAGAAGTGGATGTTCGACTTGTAAGCTTTTTAATTGAAGAATTTAAGACATTTTGTATCCATTTGGGGCTGAAACTCTGACAAACTAAAAATCTCTGTAGTTTAGAGAAGCTTTCTTATGGAGGGGAACCAAACAAATTATAGATAAATAGGTAACACTAGATGAATTCCTTACCAAAAAAATCTTTCTACGCAGGGATACCCTGGACATTTGCTCTAATGAAATGAAAAATCTCACGACGAGTATTCTGGACTTCGTGGCTAGAGCTCTGGCTATGAATTCAGAGGACATGAAACAGTTGTTCGAAGACAGTAAGTATGAACTATTATCCACCCTGCCAGCAACCAGAGCTAGAGTTTTAAGTTTTCTGAAATGTCGTCATGCGATCACATACATGGTTTTGCAGATTGTCAGATATGGTGCTTACCGAAGCGTTGAGCATCGTGCAATAGTGAACTCTAGGAAGGAGAGGCCATCCATTGCCACATTTTACAACCCCAACTATGGCGGTGATTTAGGCCCTGCACCTTGTTTGATTACCTCACAAACGCCCGCATTGGACAGAAGAAACAGAGTTGCTGAGTATTTCAAAGGCCTGTTCGCTCGAGCTCTAGATGGAAAGTCATGTCTAGACCTCATGAAGATAGAAGAAGAGTTTATCAACTGAAACAAGCCAAAGTTTGTTTTTGATGGAAAATGAAGAGTTGTTAGTCCTAAAAAAATTCTCATGGTCGTCCAGCTCATTCTGACTTAACATGGCATTGAATAGCTTCTAAAACAAATACATTCCGGAGGTGTGACTATGCTCGCATGAAAAGATGAAGATGTGAAGCTAACAGCTAGAAATCTTTAAGCAATCATATAATAACCTCGTTACCACGAGCACGTGGAGGAAACAAAGGTCAAACCTCTACACTAAGGGGGTGTTTGGCACAACCAAGAAGCTCAGCGATTTGTGCTTCTCCACATCTCTGATCTAATTTTTTTTTTTTTTTAAAAAAAAAAGAAACGTCTTTCTACCCTCCTATCACGTTCCCAACGTCCATTTCCTGCTCCCCGTCGACTAAATGCCCACCTGGGAGGAATCTTAATGGAATCTTTTTTTTGGGGGGGTCATTTTTTGAGGAAGTCATAATGCAAGTTATTACTATTTATATTAGGGGTATTTTGGAAAAATTACGGACAACATTTTTTTTTAGAATAAAAAACCCTACAAACTGAACACAACATAAGAAAAGAAAATCTTTTATATCAAAAAAAAAAGTTCAGGAATTTTAAAAGCTCAATTCTAAACATATTTTATACTTTAAAATCTTCATACCAAACACTGTCTAACTATTATAACTGGAAGATATTTTATCCCAATGCACCATACATCTTGAAAACCTCCGGTTAAGGGAAGCACAATGACAATCGCTTTTTCCCCATTCCTTTTATAGGCATTGAGTTTAAAAGAATTAATTTAAATTTAATTTGATAGTAAAAACATTTAAACTCGTGCTAAGGAAAAAAATTCATCTATATTTCCTTAAGTAGTCAAATTCAGAAAAGATAAATAACTAAAAATAGTGAGATTGAAAAGCAGAAATTCCGCAACAATCTTCTAGCCCACCCAACACAACCGTTGTGCGGAGCTCATCTAACAACTGTACCGGCGCTGCCATCAACCAAGTCTTTATACAGATGTAAAAACTTTTGCCCGTTACACAGTAATTTACGTAAACACCCGTAGAATTTCGGCCAAAATTGATCCAAGTTCTTAACTACTGACATCAAGGGGCAATACCAAAATTTTCTACTTCTTTTCTCTTTTTCTTGGTTCTCTGAATCTCATGCTAACATACCACGTGAAGTAAAATCTAATTACTTCATATGTGATGAGTGATTAAGAGGAAGAAGAGACAGGAAACCAAGTGCACTGCACCATGTCGCACCCGAAATATTCCTCAATTTGGGTGCCATGGATCCGAAACTTAGCAACAGCTCCTCTGCACGGGAAGGGCAAGCTACAAACATGTAACACCCCTCTGCCATTCCCAGAGAGAAGACCGGCTATTCTCAGGTCTCACTAATGCATGCAACACCCACACTTCACAATATTCCAGTCTAGTTTTCTGCTATCATGGTTGATATAATTTCCAAATGCTCAAATGCTTTTTTCATCTTGATTTGCATTTGTTCACAAGCCAACATTAATCCAAGATGGCAGTTGATGGGGAGATGCTGCAAATAACTGTCTGGATCTAAGAGATTAGGATGACAAACCAACCTCAGAAAACCATACTAAGGCTCTCAGGTTCTGATTCCAAAATGAAGAATCATCGAGAGAATGAAAGAAACGAAGAAAAAGAAGTGTAAAATACCAAATAAAATGAGAGAAGAATGGCACCGTTGACAGGTGACAACTTAATTCTCACTTGTGGAAACTACATAGCCATTTATACACCGGCTTTTTAATGCTAATTAGGAAACTACTCGGGAAGATAAACCCACCACTGCATCATAAAAATTTCTTCATGGCATGATAAGATAAACCTTGCTACGTAAATACAATAATACAATATAATTTCAAAAGCAATAGAACATAAAAATCCCTATTTTCAGCATCTTTTCCATGATGCTAATTCTGCATCATCAATCTAGCAAATGAGATGTGCCAAACTTAATAGCTGGCTGGATTTTTCTCCTACAGTGTAACAAGGCTACCATGATATAGCATAACTGTCATGGTACCATGCAAAACCATCACATTCAGTGATCATGAATATCTAGAGAGAGAGAGAGAGAGAGAATCAAATCAAAAGGAACCATGGAAGTAAAATTCCTAGATCTACAAACACAGAGAATTATAAAACAGCTAAATCCTTTACAAATATTAATATAACACATGAATATGATAGGCGGACCAACGGCTTCATTCCCAGTTCCAAAATCAGGGGTATTATGTCATAATTTCTAAGAGTCCTTCAAGTAATATATGACTCTCTGACGTATACTGTAGGAACAAAGCAAAATCCTGGTAGCAATTATTGGAGTTGTCTGCGGACCTGCCATTCAAGCAAAAAGAAAAATGAAAGACCACTCAATTAATCAGTGTGAAAGAAAATGCTAAGCTAACTATCCCTCCACCCACTCCCACCCCTCAGAGCAAAGAACAAAGAATGAGGACAGTGAGATAGAAGCATTGGCCTGATGTCACACAACCCGAGAGAGAGAGAGCCTAAAAAAATGTTTTTAAGAAAGGCCATGACACAAAGAACTCAGGAGTCTCAAAAAAATAAAACAAAATGCTCACAGCATGCCATATGTGAGAGAGGGAGAGGGGTGATAGAGGTGGAGAAAATTGTGGAACTCAACATTCTAATGGAGACAGAACCAACATAGCTATTGTAATTAAAACATCAGTTCTTTTTATTGCATGATATAAGTGCAGAATCATGGGGAAGCAATCACTTTCACAAGTTACATGGACACAATTAGGAAGAACAAACAGCAAGATACCAACTCATCCTTCTAATTGTTCGTCTAAATCATACATTATGTTCTTCAACATAAGTGAATAGTCTCATTAAATTTCATTCTACCATTTAACCCTTGGCTTTCCGTCTCAAGGGAACATAAACTAACGGTATTTACAAAAATCCCTCTGAATGCCTCCCATGTGAATTTCAGCAACCGCACTTTTTATCCACCAGACCAAAATTTCTCCAACTTGCCAAAAGAAGCAGAAGTTTAGAGGTGCAATGGTGTGCTTTACATGAGGTACAATGGTTCACTTTACAAGGGGTACAATGGTTTACTATACACAGAGTAACTCACAAATTGCAATGGTTTACACAGTAACTTACAAAGAGTAATGAAAAACAGCACCCAAATAGTTAAAATCACTGAATTCTTCTTTTAGCATTCATGGTTATCCTTTTGCACTGGGATTAAAAAAATAATAATAAAACATGGATAAGAGCATTTATTGTGTTCAAGATCTGAGCGAGGTGTAAGATACCGAATCAATATGTAGATTTTGTAAGCATTGCACAAGTATTAAAGAAGTTTCAACACCCAGAATTTACAAATGTGACAAAAATAATCTGTACATTTAAATGCCTATGATCTTTACACTTAAAATGCCTGTAACAGCAGATTTCATCTGGTGGAAAATTTCATAGCAGAATGGGAGCAAGTAGGCAAGTTTTTCAACAACAAAATTTTCTTTGTTTGCAAAAGTGATCCTCTTTTGGGTATACTTATGTGCCATCCTAGAATACCCATGTTGCAGTTGAAACTCATGGCCAAAAAAAATTTAGAAGAAAAAGTTAAAAAAATTGGTTCATGTGAATGGAACTGTCCATCACAATCACAACATCCAATGCATAAATTGTGGTTTGAATGACTATTTCATATAAAAATGGGGGAAATAAGTAATAAAAAATAATTCTCATCTACAGATTTGATGTACAGTCCCAGGGAACTGCTTTTGAGAAGCCATGGTTGGCTACAAGCTCATTTCAACAGTTGACGGAGATAGGTTACAGACAACTCTTATACTCCACCATTCAACTGGAGCAAACCGGCTGAACATAGGGACACATGATTTGCTCTGTGCGCACCAAAGCTTTTCAATCTGTTGTTAATCAATGTATATCAATTGATGAAATACAATTAGAACAGTTGGTTGAAGAAAACTTTGATCCAACCATTAGGACTTTGCACTTTGCGACCACTTTATAGACTACAATTTTCTTTAGAATTGAAAACAATTTTCCACCTATATACATTGAACCAACTCCATTGTGGGGGAAGGCACTCAAGCTCCCATTTCAGATTTAGGAGGCACAAAATCGGTGAGGTGAGGGAAAATTTCAGAACCCAAATTCTTCTTAGGTAGCAACTTAGTAAAAATGAAATAAACTAATAAGCCTCCTGTTCATTGCTACATAATCTGTTTTAAGATATTTTTTTCCATTTTCAGTATTCTAATGCATTTTATTTGATCTACCTCTGCTCTTGGTGGCTTAGACTACTACGGCATGCCATCTATACCTACATGTCCGCTACTTTTAGTAGTATTTTACATGGCTGCCATGCCTAGGAACATGTAAGTGTACCTCAATCCTCAAACCATCCTTGCAGACGTCCTTACTCAGCTCCATATACTCAATCATAGATATATTACTACTCAGACTGGGACAACCATATGAAGATTAGTTCTGGACATTTTTAATGGTGACATATGGCTGCGAGATATCAATATCAGGTGGACAATTTCCAAGTGCCCTGGATGTTCAAACAGAAGCAATGAAGAAGGCCATCCAGATTATAAAGACTACTGGTGGTACTTCAATAGAGGATTCAACTACAAGGAGGTCTAGGCTAGTGTTGGCCATATGCAAAAATTGAGTGAGGTAAGCTGTTACCAGGATCCTACTGGAAGTGTTGGTGGGCTTACCAAGGTACTATAGCTTTCAGTTTACCCTCTTTGCAGGACTGCTACAAGCCTCCCAAGGGCCCTGTGGTTAATTCTTCTGATTGATGCATTCTTGGGGTTGGCTAAGGGAACGGGAGTTGGCTGCACAAGGGAAGGTAATGACTATGGATTTCAGTTTACCCTCTTCATACGACTGCTACTAGCCTCCCAAGGGCCCTGTAATTAATTCTTCTGAATGATGC